TTCATCAGTTCTAAGATTTCCGTAAGTGAAAATAATGAGCTACAAAGTAGTATCTAAAAAGATTCAAATTCCTTTATAAAATCACTATGTTAGAAACAAAGGGTAAGAACTTCCTGATGATATTTCTACTAAGGTGTGTGTGTGTGTGTGTGTGTGTGTGTGTGTGTGTGAATGTAATCTGATCATATAGGTGAGTGTACGTGAAACAATTCCAAATCAGAAGCTCATGAGAACATAAGTTTATAAGAGTGTAGCCAGGGCATATCCCAGGGAGAATTTAAATCAGATCCTAAATAGTCAGAGTACAGACCAAAGGAAAATGTCCATTAACTTTTCTGGAGAAAGCTCTCCATCTAGGAAGCTGAATAGATAGTCATACAGCTGCATACACTCAAATATATAGAAGTACATACATGTAAACATACAACAAACTAAGCTGATACTTATAAAGTCAAACGCTTATAAAGATGCCATGACACTCTATCCTTCACCATGAGCCAGGTAGATGTCTTTCTTTCTCAGAGAGGATTTCCTCAGGAGGTTGAGTACAGAAGAGGAGGTGTTCAGGGACAGCACATCTGAAGCAAGACTATGTGCTCACACAACTAACTTCCTGATTTCACCCGTATACAACCCTCAGAAAAAGTAGCTGGCTCAAAAAAATAAATAAATTACATCTATTAAAGATGTGCAATCAAAGATGAACAAAAGAAGAAAATCTATGTGACTAGGGAGCAAATCAAATGAAGAACATAAGCCAATAATCAGCAAAACCATCTTTTAGAAGACAGAGCAAACTAAAAATATGTCCTCATTAACGCAACTGAGATTTCACCTTCACAAGATCATCATTAAGGGCAGTTTTTAAAGAATGTAATTGGAAAGTAAGGAAAATGATTTCAGGGGAGTGTTTGAGGATATCGGAAAGAAGGGTGGGTAAAATTACAATAGATATGCAAATATTTCTAAACTAACATTGGCTGTGCAAACAACAGTAATAATATTTCTCATTTGGAGAGCAAAATAAGACCAAAGATTTAGCTCAGTGGTTTACCCCCTACCTCCAATGAACAAGGTCCCAAGTTGGATCTCCAGTACCAAAAAAAAAAAAAGGAAATCAAAGTAAATTAAACATAGACTATACAAGTTGAGGTAGGGAATTCTAATTTTAAAAATTAACATTTTTAGCCAGGGATTTAGCACAGTGGTTCCACTGCCTGCTTCTCAAGCACAAGGACCTGAGTTCAATTCCCGGTACCAAAAAAAAAAAAAAAAAAAAAAAAAAAAAGTGAACACTTTTGAGGAAGAAGTAGCTTTAGATTTCTGAGGAATGCATGATAATGTTTTATATGTAACTATTATTAGAAGATGTCTCTTTTTTCCCGCAATAAGAGAAAAGGAAAGAAACTCAATCAAGTTGGAAGAGACCAAAATTAAAGTGAGAGAATGATCAAAACCTGATGGTGATTTCAGTGAACTGTCATGACTTCACCTGACTAAAATATAAACATGAATGTTCTCTAATATAAAGAAAAGAAAACATGTGTGTCAGGAAAATAATCTAAATAGAATTGACTACAGAGGTGCCAGAAATAAAAGGATAGGTCTTTTTAAATTCAAAAGACAGAGAAAGCTCTCCCAGACAATTAGAACAACAGTAATAACAACAAGCTGGTATGATTATATCAAACACAGACAAAACAACAACAAAAATTCAGAAAGTATGTATTAATAGAGGTGATGATTGAATTCACCAGGTGGATATTTCAGATATGCACTTAAAAATAATTCCTAAAGAATTTGCACAACAGTATGTTATAGTGCTACAAATAGAAACCAAACTATCTTCTCAAGATTTTTATAGAAATCTCATTTCAATAACCATATAGGAGATTTTGAAAATTCAATAAACAAGTTTGACATAATGAACTTACATAGAAAAATGTATCAAATAATAGAAATTACACATTCTTTCAAAGACAAGTATTGCTTATGAAATCTTGACTATGGCTTTCAATATAACTCAAAATAAGCATATAGACTATTCTCTCTGACTCCAGTTTAGTCAGAACTCATACCCCTACATTTTAGAAACATTTCTAATCAACTCAACAAAAATCACATAAAATTGCAAAAAAATGGGTATAGTTTCCAAGAATAAAACATTTTTGTCTAAGTTCAAAAATACATTTCACCCTTATTCTGCAGTTGAAAATAATTCTTAAAAAATCCAGCCAACAGAAACAGAAATCATAATTAATAATTAAAAAGTGTACAAATTGCATCATGAAAGAACCATTAGTAAGAGCTGGTGGTTAAAATGAAATTATGCCTAAAAAATTGCAGTGATTCATTTTTTTCTATGGTTATCTACATTGCTGTTTCATGAGTTCATAAATTTGGAAAAAAGGTAATAATTTAGTTAGAAATACATGCAGTACTTGTGTAAACAGGAAATAGCTACTTAGTCACTTTTGCTAAAGCCCAAGATAATTATAGTGTTTTTTTACTTACTTGAAGAGGGCTTCTTCATGACCAAAGTGATCGCAGTTCTGCTAAAAGCCGTGAAATCATTGCCTGGGGACTCACAGTGGCAATATAGAACTTGTTTATGCAATGAGTCAGTTAAGACTCATCTATTCAATATGATGCTTTTGCATAGATGGCGGCTGGAAGGAATTGTCCCATTTTTTTGCCAGCTCAATTGTACTATTTCCTGATGCTCCATTTACAGACTTGCTTCCCACCTGTTCCAAATGGCGAGCGGACATGCACAGAGTATGAGGAGTATGTCATGGAAAGAACCCTTCCACTTGAAAATGAAATCTTGGTCCAAATTGGAGCCTTTAATGCTATTATTAAGGACATGAGTGGAATGTATTCTTTAACCTCTCTCTCTGAGTCTGTCACCTGATATACATTGTTACATAAGATAGTGTATTTAAAAATGCACTAAAATGCACTAAAAATGCACTAAAAAGTTTTGGTTTGAGCCGGGTGTGCTGGCACACGCCTGTAACTCTAGCACTCAGGAGGCTGAGGCAGGAGGGTCACTGTGAGTTCAAGACCAGCCTGGGCTACATAGTGAGCCCCAGGTCAGTCTCAACTACATAGTGAGACCCTGTCTCAAACTCCCCGCCTCCCCAAAAAATTTAGGTTTGGTAAGAAGCCTAGTAGCTGCTTGGATTTTAAGAAATGCATAAAGACATATATAGATAGATAGATAGATAGATAGAGAGACAGATGTAGACATATATTTATTACTTTAGACTGAATTTATAGATATTTACATTTTAATTAAGACTAGTTGATCATGAGGCCAAATTACAAAACTTTCATGTTAGAATTAGTTTTAGAGAATTAAAGCATACCTTCTTCCTCTCTTTAATCCCAAGCATCAGAAATATAATTGCTTACGAGACAAGAAAGTCAGGGGTCAACTGGATCACATACTAGATTCGTGCTGAGTTTATAATAAAGAGGCAGACAGGACAGAGCAGGAGCCCAGCATGGAGCACAAAAATAAAAGTGAGAATAACTATTCCTCCCTAGCAGGAACTGTTGCCAGGCTTGGGCCCAAATGCTGAGCATATTCTGCGGTTGTTGAACAAGAGCTCCAGGTTGGAGTCATGGAAAAGCTGTGTATAGACTGCTGACTCAAGCGTCACAGCAGGGAAGAGTGTGTGAAAAGAAAAATCTGCATGCACATAAGGGCGAAATTAACTCCAGACTCTGATAGACATGAAGGAGAATAATTAGATCATGTAAACAATATGATTTCCAAACAATCTATGGGGTCAGCCAGCAGCAGAGAGGAGGGACGGAAGAAACTAGAGAGGGAGGGACCGAAGGATGAAGGCAGAGGGAAAGGGAGAATGCGGAATCAGCCCTTCAGGACAAATTGATCTCCTGGTTGTAGACTGAGAAATGTACAAACTACATATTTCTGTTTCAAAACATGGCATCTACTCAGCGTTGAAGCTCGTCCACCATTGAAGTTTCACAATATAAAGAGTTTCTTTACCTCAATAATACATTCAAATTGATTTATACATGAGCATCTCTATTTAGTTAAACACAGGATGTGCTTTGTGTGACTCTCTTACCTGAAGCGTGCGTGTTCCTGAAATAAATCTCACTTCTCTCCAAGAGGCAGATATGCTGGAAGGAGCTAAAATACTTATACTTCAAGGAAGCACAATGCTTCCACTGCAAACTATTATTCCTGTTTGGCAGGTTTGGCATGTTTAAAAATCTATTTTTCATCAAACACTGGAGGGTTTTATGGGAGGAAAAAAAAAGGGTTTGCCCTGGCATAGTGAATATGGGATTTAAGATAAATTAATTTCGGGAGTTTGGAATGTCAAGGTATTTTTTTTTTAATTTTTTATTTTATTTATGTATTTGTTTATTTATTTATTTATTTTTGGTACAAGGGATTGAACTCGGGTCCTTGCGCTTGCAGGGCAGGCCACCGAACTGCTGAGCTAAATCCCCAGCCCTTATTTTTTTATTTAATTAATTTCATAAATTGATTTTTTAGGAAAAGGGTAAAGATTATTTTTTTAGCCTTAGAACCCATAGAAAATTTCAAAAGACATTGGAAAAAAGGAAAGAAAACAAGAAAGACATTTACAAGATTAGCAAGAAAGTAAATGTGGTTAGTTTGCCATTGTTTTGGTTTTCTGCTATTGAGCAATGCGTAGAAACTTTGAAGCAAGACAAGAAATTGTGTAATTGGATCTGAGTAACTACATTCAGGCAGAAACAAGTTTGATTTACTACGGGAAATTAATTGGGTCATTTTCATTATGAAAATATCATGGGTTCTTCTTGTTCATTTTCTTTCTATTTTTGCCTTCAAGTTTCATAATAGCTTTTCTCCCTCCGTAAGACCGATTCCATGGGTAGAATGCAGAAACTAGACAATTCATAGTTACTTTCACTTTTTCACTGCTGCTTATTAAACAGTTTTAAAATGTTCAAATTAAAAATTGTACCTCCTTTTCCGTAGCCCATCTCTTATGAGTTATGAAGGTGTGTTAGTCTCCGTGACAAAATGCGCGAGATCAATCAACTTCTAAGGAGGAAGGTTTCACTGCAGCCCATGGTCAGGTTGCCCCGTTGCTCCAGGCAGAATATCACGAAGCACACGGTAAAGCAAAGCTGCTCATTGAACGGTGGCGGAGACTCAAAAGAGACTCAGAGAAGGAGAGGAGCAGCCAGGCTCCTTCTCTCCTCTTCAAGTCACACCCCTGCTCCCCTAACTTCCTTCCGCTGGGCTTCATCTCCTAAAGGTTCCGGCAACTCCCAGCAGTGCCAGGAACCAAAGACCAAACCCTGAACATGTGGGTCTCGGGGAACATTTCCCATCCAGCCTACAGAGGCATGGGAAGTTATTTCACACTGGAAATGAAAAGTGGTACTACACAGGGAAAATGACAGCACCCCTACATTTAAATAATAATTTGGATTTCACTTCTTAATATCAGAAATCTGAGGAAGTAAAGGGCTTTTAAAATAATTTTCCTTGGGCTGGGGTTTTAGCTCAGCGGTTCGGTGGCCTGCCTTGCAAGTGCAAGGACCCGAGTTCAATCCCCGGGACCAAAAAACAATAATAATAATTTTCCTTGTAGTAACTTTTCCTTGTTACATATGTGCTAAAACACTTAAAATTTCCTGGATTAGTGCCTAAAATGAGCCACTATTTTTTGAAAAATAGTCTCTTGAGAAGCTGAAAATTTTGCTCTTGCAAATTCAGTCTTATGTATATTTTGGAGGAGGACCTGAGAAAGTTGGATTAAGTGTAAAGAAATAATCTAATCTTGGTAAAACTGAAAGATTAGGGTTAGAACAGTGTGATAGTAATTATTCATTATCAAGAAAGGGCACCAAAATGTACGTCACAATATTTCCTTTGAAAATATGACCTTCAGTATCGATTTGCTTGCCCATTTTAGTAGAACTTTTAATTGAAAATAAAGTCAAGTGGGCAATTATGCTATTTCCATAGTTTATCATTGTTATGTCCTATACCTAAATTTAAACAAGGAAAAATGTCTTCTATCTGGAAGCATCTACTTACTTTTTAGGTAAATCATTTAAGACAAAAATGAACAACCTTCAGCACTGCTATTACAAAAACTAACATCAATAACAAAGAAACAAACAGAAACCAAACATAGCAACAAAACGAAAAGGCAACCTTTACGCTGCCAAAGTATTCCATTCTCTATGTGTTGCGTTGTTAGTATCACTTTAGGTTATCTTGACTGTATATTTTACTGCCACACACAAAGTCAGGAAGGGTTAGAAACAAGAATTTTGATTGTCTTGGTGGATAGCCTCCTAAAATGTTTCTGCTCTTTGCATTAAGAAATCAATGTTCAAGTACACGTATCCTTCTAATATTTTTTTCAAGTATGGTTACTTTCCACAGTCTATAGTGAATTAAATTTCTTTGCTCAAAATGTCTTTTGCAGAGCAAACATTCTAAGATAAATTTTATCAGTCTCCTTGCTAATCTCCCTGTACTCTTACTGTAAAACTGGCTAACAATTTTCCAACACTGACTTCGGTGGAAAGATAAGAGTTTGACAATTTTCTTTGAAATTTGGTATGAAAATTAGTGATCCATACCTTGAGACTGGTCACATATATGCTTCATTTATGCCTAGCATTTTCTCCCTCATTCTCTTCCTACTTTTACTCTTTTTTCTGTTTTGAAGAAGGCCCTCAATAATAGAAAGGAAATTTCAAAGAGTATCTACCTGGAAGTTAGCAGCCCTAGGACTGGATGTAGTATTTGTAATAAGGTGGATAAGTTCCCTCTCTCCTGGAAGCTTACAAGTATTCCTTCCCACTCCCAGCTTTATGGCATAGCAGGGTGATCTGAACTGCTTAGTATCTTGTAGAAAAACCAATCAAGAAAGTTGCAGATCTAATGCAGCTGTTTGTATGTTGTTATTTAAAAATAGGACACTGAAAAAGAAAGGAAAATATCTTGGTCAAGCTATTTGGAAAGTGTTTGTTGCATTGCTGCTATATGAATATAAACTGCTTTTCCCCCTCATTCATTGTAGCTTGAGATGATGGAAAAATAAATCAATACAATATGAAGACTTTATAAAAACAGAGCGTTTAGACTGTCATAGTACTAGGTACTATGTCTAGTATAGTGTGTTGGTCAGCTTTCCCACTTCTGAGACACAATAAATGACACCCAATTTAAGGAAGGTTTAGTCTGGCTCACAGCTTGGGGATTCAATACTTGGCTGGCAGGCTCCAAAGCAGGAATAAAATGGCATAGACATGAGGTAAGCTGCTTGGTTCAGAGCAGCGAGTAGGAAGGGCAGGGGAACAGCACCACCAAGGCAGGAACAAGCAAAGGACCACATATAGTAACCGAGGTCACACTTCTGTGATACACTCACCACACATCCAAGAATGCACTGTACTGATCTGCCAGGCATTTGTTCATCCAGTGAGGTTGCTGTATCTGGACTAATGGCTATAAATCATTAGTGGATAATTTTTTGAAATTAACCTAATCATTTTATTGTAAAGGGTTAACACAAATGAAGGATAAACACAAACGAAAGGTTCATTAAAGCATAAATTTGAGTACATCTGCAGGATGGAAAGCTATTCAACTTTATAAAAAAGGGAAAGCCTGTCATGTGTGATAAAATGAATGGTGATAGAATATGTTACGTTAAGTAAAATGAGCTAGACCTAAAAGACTAAAAATGTTATCCAAATGATAGAAGCAGAAAGTAAAATTGTAGTTAGCTGAGGCTGGTATTGGGGAGATTAGGGAGATTTTGGTTAAAGCATTCAAAATTTCAGGTAGACAGGAGGAACAAATTAAGCAACGCATTGTACAACATGATGACTAAGGTTAATAACTGCAATTTAGACTTGATAGCTCCTGAGAAGGTATATTTTGACTGATTTTATCTCAAAAATACTCAGTATGTGGAATAATCTATGTGTTCATTAGTTTGATTTAGCTATTCCACAATGTATAAATACGTCAAAAAATACTGTTGTGCATCAAAAATGTTCACAATAAAAAGAGACCGAGACATCATGTGTTGGTTTTCCTTACTCAGTCAGAATAAAATAATATGTTAATCCCTTATGCTGTGCCAAGGGGGCCTGGCCCCCGGGAGCAGCTGTGGAGACCCGGAGATCCCCGGCCCAGCCCTGTGCCCACAAGCCTCGTGCATATTCTGAAAAGCCAAGAAAATCATTTTCTATGTGCAAATTGTAGCTGAGTCAGTATGAGAATTAGGGTCTACTACTAGAAGGTGTTTTTTTCACAAATTTTGACAGGTGGGAAGAAGAAGAGTTGGTGTTGCTTTTTGGCTTCTTCTGTTGTTGTTGTTGATTCCCCACTCCCGCCCCACCCACACACTTCAAGTCTCATCTTGCTTTCTTGCTTTCCTACAGCGCGACTTCAGTGTCTGTCCGTCACGTCCCTTGGTGTTGTAAGGCAGCCATGGCAAAAGCAGTGGTGACAGCTAATTCCCAGCTTTCTAATCCTGGCATTGCTTCTGAAGTGGAATGTTGGCAATCAGTATTCCAGTGGTTATCTCTGTCCCTGGCTTTGTCAGTTTTGCCATGCTTTATTCTAGCGAGGAGCGCATATCTCTGGCTCTGCCTGTCATGATTGTTGAAAAGTACTTTATTTTCTGTGTTAAATCCATCTTTCCTGCTTTAAATATTTAGATTTGTTTCTGAGTAACACAGTAGCATGTCAGGGTGAGTTGCCAGCCAATGTCTGTTCTTAACCTCTTTCCATAATAGAGCTTCAACTGGTCACACGCCAATTCAATTAAAGACTGCTTTACTCCGGCTCCCTTGTGATGGTTGGAACCAACAGCGGAATTTAAACAAACTGTATTTGGTACTTCTGGCTTTTGTCCTTCAGGGGGTAGAAAATGCAGTATTCTGACGTCTCCTGCTCTTTCTGGTTCTTGTGTGTTGGCAAAGGTTGAGTAGCTTCTCTGAATTTAGATGCAGAAGGGGCATTATAAAGACAGTAGAACTGCCCAGAAAATAGTGAACCATCTACTACCTGGTATTTAATGAGACATAAATATGCATCTTTGTAAAAATGTTGGAATTGGGGTTCCTGCTTCTCTCTCTTTACAGCATATTAATCTTAAATAAAACATAACTTGGTTACTGGAAGTGGACTCTCCCTCAATTTTTTTTAATTGAGTACTGGTTGAAAGTTGGGATTACATGACAGGAATCGAGACTGCGGTCTGGTACATTCGTAATACTGATTTGGTTATGAAAAAAAATCCATTGTGAAAGTGAAAGGTCACTTTCAGTCCTTATAAAGGCAGATTGCTTTCTAAAAGAACATGGAACCTCTGAGAGATGTTTGGGGAAATTCAGAACAATGAAAAAATACAGAATGCTGATGTGTGGTGGTGTTTTCTTCAGCTAAATTCTGTGATGAGATGTACTCAGGCTAGTTATAAGACATGATTTTGGAGAGGCAGCCTTAGTAATAAGTAGTACTCTGGTCTCTTCAAAAGCCCACATTAAAACTTATCAGTAACTTAAGGCCCATTCTGCTTCCAAAGGTAAAATTGAAGGTGATGCTTTTCTACCTACAAGGATATTTTCGGATAGTTTCAAGTAGACTCTTAAATTGCAGAAGAACAAAATGTTTGGAGCAAAGAAACCAGTACATAAAAGAAAACAGGCTGCAAGCATAGCAACACTGCCTAGATTACATCTTCGGTTCTTTGTCCATGGAGCTCACTGTAAGCAACTAGAACAAACACAACGCATAAAATTTTGAGGGACTTACACTGATCTGCAGAAGCCAGTGTGTGTTTGACCTTTAATGTTATACCCTAACTTCCCAACCAGCTTTTCAGAGTATAGACCACAAAATGTTTTCAGCTCTCGAAGCGGGGATATTTTCTAATTCTTTCTTAAATTGACTATAGGGTAATTGAGTGTCTTGCAAGTAAAATGGATATATTAGAATAAATAATTCATTCATTGAATATTGATAGACATTGCACCAGAATAATGAGTGCAAATCAGGTTGGTCAGAGGGGAACCAGTTCGTATGGCCCCCATAGGAGTAGTGGACAAAGAATCTCCAAGATAAAGACAATAAGAACCATACGTGATAATGGATAAAGGAACCCCTTCTAGATAATGTGCCCGGAGGTTAATCAAGGAAATTTTTCCACTTGAGATCAGGGAATATTTGAAATTCTTATCAATAGAATT